TTCCCCTTATCGGGGAATAGTAATATCAAATAACAATTCTTTTGCGAAGTTACATGCCTAAGACAATTCAAATAGATCATTAGTCTATAGCAATGGAAACAGACGACGAAGTTCCAAATTTAATGAAGTATTTACAATGTGAAAAGTTTGACATATAGTAGTATGAAATAGTATGAAATAATATGAAATAGTATAAAATAGTATAAAATAGTATAAAATAGTAAGAAATAGTATTTAATAGTATAAAAAAATTGAACAGTAAAAATAATATATAATTTTATTGTGTAGGTTATTAAAAATATTCTTAAAATACTTATGATAATATTAATGTTAAGAGTTCAACAATCAAAAGTTTTCTTTATCTAAATAGACTATAAATAAAAATATAATATTATTATATTATTATTATTATATTATTATAATAATATAATAAACTCTAGTCCCATATTAACATAGTTTCTATATTTTTCACTTGATACCCTCTTAACTTTAAGAAGGAAGTCGAATAACGCTTTGTACCTATTAGCTTTATAAAAATTAAAGTAAAATACGATGAACAGAGTACTCTCAGAGTACAGAGACAACACATAAGAGGATTAGAGTTTAGAGAATTAACTTCAAAAACACAGACAAAAAAATATTTTTTTACTATATTCTTCCTTCTGCTTCTTTGCACAACACTTGCTTCACCACTGCTGTGACTTATATCTTTATATCCCGCTTCTTTTGGGATATGGTTTCAGTGCTTTACTTGATCTGCATTAACACTAATCTAGAGTCTAGAAAAAAGATAATTGTTAGAATTACTATTAACCTGTACTACTTATATTAGAAGATTTTCTCCATGAATAACACAATAACACAATAGATATGAAAAGCACATTAAATAAAGTATTGTCTTTTTACAAATCAAACTTTATGGATTAATACTAATATTCTCTTTATTAAGAGCCTCTTAATAGTTATATTCTCTTTATATTCTCTTTATCAAGCCAATGATGATTCATAAGTGATAACGATTTATCAGTTTAAATTATTCTCATAAAATTGTAAATCATCAGTATCATCTGATGATTTACTATTTATAAATGAAATATTTTCAGGAACGAAATGTATTTTATTGTATCCCTTTTGATAGGTTAGTGGTGATGACTGTGAAGTCTACTTATAGACAAAAATATTAGTTTTGAGTGTTTAACTGCCTGTGTAGTGTACTTATCATACAGATCATGATCAGAGACTTTTAAGAGGCAGTTTATTCCAACAACAGAGACGAAGTTGAGCTCCTCTAAATGGTTTGATATAAAGAATTTTATCCAAGTTTTAGAAAGAGCTGATTATAATTTCTTCACTGGTGTTGGTATTTAGCTTATACGCATATGTGTAACCATATAATGCCGAGTAAAAATACCAACCAGTTCGAAAGATTGTTTGAATTGCTATAAGACAAAAGTTTATTAAATATACTCCCTATATTCACTTTTGGAAGTGACTGGAGTAGACTGCGATCCATGAGAACATTTTTATAGAACTGCAGAACACACGTTTGGTATATATAAATTTTTTTCGAATATCTATTTGCTACTTTACAGATAATTGAATATTTTTCTTTTGTTTAAATGTTGCCTATTATTATATTGAATCAATTCACTTAAGCACTTTTACTCTCTATTAACTGCCAGGTTTTGTCATAACCCCTCTCTACGCCTTGACTGGATTATTGTTTATAACTTCATCATACTAAGCAATAATGTTGCCTATATTAATATGAATAGATATTTATTTATATATTTATTATTTTTTATTAATGAATTAAATATTTTTTTAGAATGCATAAGCTATTCTACTTAAAATTTTGTTAAGACAAAAAACTAATATTTATAATTCCATCATAACAAAGTCGACAGACCTAAAAAAGCATTGTAGAGACCTTAAACTTCTGTCTGATTATGCTAAAAGTAGGAATAGGAATAGAAATAAACGGGATAATAGCTCCAAACGGAGCGAAGCACTGCGATCCTAACCGACCCTAACCGAACAGAAGCCATTCCGCCTTCCGAATCAAAGCTAAAACATTTTAAAAGACACAAACTATTAAAATTAAACTAGTCTTAAAAAATTATAAAATTGTTAAAAATCTAAATACTTATTTATATTTATAAAAACATATTTAAACCAAATATTCTATTTCTATTTTTGATAAGCCATAGGCTGACGTCAAATTTTTAGTTGAATATACCCACATAGACAATAGAACCGTCGTACATACAAGCACGACTAAAGTCGATATAGTTCATATGCAAATTAAAATATGCAAATTCATATTTATTTATAAAATAAATAAATTAACAATTATTTAAATTGAGATCCGGTTAAAGGTATTTTAATTTAACATAAGCCGTTAAAAAAATAAAGTTTCCTATACAATATATTCGTATGCGAACAGTTTTGTTTGAGGCAGAACTACTGTTTCATGTCATGAGTGAGCACTTATTTGGAGTGAGCACTCAGTAGACTTTTTCGGAGCAAACTTTTCATTTCATCTGTTCACATATCTAAATTATGTAAATTTTCTCAATAAAAAATATAAAATTAAACTAAAGTGTTCCACAGAAATAATAAGCATTTTTTATGACTTTCAATGCTATTTAATTATTTCTGACTACAATTCAATTATAGCGAACGGTCAATTACAATAATATTAATTTGTGTAGGCAAGCGCATTTATTTAAGTTGTATGTATATATAATATATATTTATATATAAAAACTAACATTACTTAATGTTATGAAAATTTTCTCATTTATTTTGCATAAAAATATTTATGTTAATACTAAATATACATATATATACATAAATATACATATTGTTAGAATATTGTGAGAAAAAATGTGAGCAAATGTAGGTTAAGTAATATTACATGGAAATAATACCCACGCTATGGATAGTATTTTGGATGTCAATTTCTGAAAAATTAATCTTAAATCGTAACATAATTTAGTTAATAATCATATAATAAAGTAGATCTCATTTTATGATTTAAGAATAATTATATTTACTTGAAATTTGCAACAATTTCAAGTAAATTTGGTTACCTCGTTAAAGATATCATCATCAATACTCATATAGTCATCAATCTGGTATAGCTATTAATAAATAAACGGTTAACACCTTAATAAACAAGAGTCCTTATGCTGTCATTAGATTTAGCCCTCAAATAGAACTGCCTTCGAAGCCGTTTTAACTTAAAGACACCATTAATAACTACAGAGGTCAATTACCAACATTCAAGCACGTCTGAAACGTTGTTCGATAAAGTAGGATAGTTTTCCAATCGGAATTCATTTTCAGCACTATTTTCATTTTCGATTTGTAAATCTCGAGCAAAATAAATAATATTCGAGACTGTTTTATAACACTCTAAATTTCTTGGCAAGGGCGCAAGATTACCCTGAAATAAACAGCTGTATTATATATGTTGACCGATAAAATGTGAATTATTTTCACATATGCATTTATGAAAAATATTTACATACATATACTAACACAACTACAAATACGGTAGATTACTCTAAAAATATTGAATTGGACAACAAAATTTGACAAATCGGGTGTTATTTTAGATTGAATACAGATTTACCAATCTAAAACGATATTAGGCAGAGTCCTTGTACCGAACAGTTATAATTCTGATAACTGTTATTTTAACTATTATTCCGAAACTAAATACGGACTATAAACTTATTAAAAAAGAAATTTGAATATTTCCTAAAACTGTTAATGATGAGTACTTGACAATACTCGAAGCAGCGTTGTATGGTCAGCCAAATTTCAATAAATTACTTTAAATTTTTGTTCTTGTCTTTTCTTTGCTATTCTGATCCTTCTAACTTTTAAAAACAGCTACTATGTCTTCATAAGAAGTGTGGCTTATGGCAAAAATAATTAACTTTATTAAATATTTAATATAATATATATAATTTATATTTAACTAGCTGATCCGGCGAAGTTCGTGTCACTCACTCGTTTCTAATGATCGAGCAAGAGGAGTGTGAACTCGACCTCTTTCTTGCCTAGTTTTTCTCTGCTCACTTGTTTCTGAAGCTCGAGCAAGAGGAGTGTGAACTCGATCTCTTTCTTGCCTAGTTTTTCTCTACTCATATGTTTCTGAAGCCCGTTCTTCTCTTCTTCTTTTTGCTTGATTTGTAGTTCGACCAATGGCACTTCGTTTTCGTGGCATAATTATGGTGTTATAAAAAACGTATATCCTTTCGATTTTAATAAATTTAATTATTAAACATCTATCCCACTAATAATATCAAAACTAAACTAAAACACACACTGTACGACTGTAAACACCAAACTGACTTATCACAATCTAACAATCTAGGATTACTAGATTGTTTTAAATGATATTGGAAATTATATTACAGAATACATTTTTAACAAAATATTACTAATTTAATGAACCTGGAACCCCAATTCTGATTTTAATAAAAGTTTGCAAAAACCTTCCCGGGGATATACCTAATAATTTCCCAAATTTAAACGGTGATTGGATGTATGGTTTTTGAATCCATCGAGTACACACAGTCAGACAGACAAACAGACAACATTCATATTTATAGATATAGATTTAACATAAGACACTGAATAATGCATAGCATTTTACAAATTTTTTTGAGTGCTAATAAAAGTGGTAGCTGTGACAGATATAACAGATATATTGGGTAAATACCTGTATGTTACAAAGGATAATACAATATATATATACTAGTTTTGAATTCAGAACTTTTTTATTTTTATAGCTGCTAATAAATTCGGTTCCATCGTACTGATTCTCAAGTTATGCGCAAATACACAAAACCAAATCTGTATTTGAGATCTTAAAGAAATATT